GGCGTGTCGTTGCCAAATTTTGGCACAGTGAAGCGCGCTGGTGTTGAGTCTTTTAAAAGATCTTTGGCACTTCCACCAAGCTAACTACCAGCCTAATGCTCTGTTAAGAGATGGTTCATGTAGTTCGTTGGTTTTGTACATGTACATCTCATCAACCCTATTGCTGGGAAGTTTTCCCCAAGTACACAGATCCCACACCACCTCGCTGGCATCCATATCCACCTGCGCGAGGGGCCAGCCATGAGAGATGGTACAAAAACCTTAAAACACACGATCTCACCAGCACTGCATTGAGTTGGAATGACTCAAAACCTTTATTTGTTCAATGTATTGTTAGGCACTTCGCTGGTACCACCTGAGCAATGGCCAGCTGGCTGCACTGCAATTTCTGCTGGAAGGCTGACGGCTGGTAGCAGCATCTTAGCTGATTCAGAAGATCTAAGCTGGGCAACGCTCAGAGATCCTTTTCTTGAGGTCGCTGATCATGGTCTCCCTAATCTTCATGACATCTTCATGCGACTTTCCCTCATTGAAGAGACCAGTCAACACAGTGGCGACGCCCAGGTTTTCTTCCAATGCGGCGCCCTTCACAGCCACCTGTTTGGAACCACTTGAAATGTGGGGGGAACTGTTTGTTCATGAAACGGTTTGATGGAAACTATTTATTCTTGAACCCAAGAGGTGGCAACTCAAAACAGCATTGAAAGCCAAGATTGTTGGCAAAAAATTGGGAAACCTGGGCCTGGCAAACTTGGTGTTCCTTCCCATCGCCCGGTTTTGGCCCACGAACTGCCGCACTGTTCCGGGTCCTTTCTGTTTTGCAGAAGAACTGAGCTTGGGGGGTTTGCTCAGCAGCGCCGGCACCAAAGGTCTCTCCACTGGACTTCGAGCCCTTCCCTCGCCCCTTGACAGCGGCCGCTGGCTTCTTGCAAACAGGAGGTGGCTTTGGAGCATCACCTTCACCAGGGCACGTGTTGGAAAGTATGTGGGGGTGTAGACTAACACATACTAACACCTAAAGCAAATAAACAATTCCTGGAAATAACCCCAGCCCCAACATCATAGAATACATTTGGGGGCCTTCTTGCAGTACAGGACCTGGGGAGTTCTTGGGCTTCGGCTGGAGCTTAGGCTGCTTCTTGGGTCGGGGCTCCGGTTTGGATTCTGGTCGAACTTCTGGTCGAACTGTTTGCGGCGCAGGACCACCATCACTGCCACTCTCAGACAAAACATCCACAGAATTGTACGTGTTGACAATTCAAGTTAGGCGCCAACAGCCAAACAAGATCCTTGAGTTTTGAGCCATGTGCACCTTGTTTGCTTCCAAGGGCAAAAGCATTCCATTGACAGCATTGTTCACTTGTGTTAGTACAGGCTTTGCACTGCGCAATCCTTTTCCAACCCCTCTCACTGCAAAACAGTGAGCTCCCAGGACAGAAGGTCTCGAGCGCATGATCTCACGCACTCCTGCTTTTTTGACTTATACCTATTTGGCCACGGCTGAAGCACTGGACAAACAACTATATATCACTAGTTTTTGGTTGTGGGAAATTAGGCAAGTGATATTGGAAGTAACTTGTGGTTTTAGAACAAGTCTGCGTGGCCAAGCCCAAAACCTACAATGGACAGTACTGCGCTGTTTTTGGGTGAGCCCAAAAGCCATGAATAAACAGGAAACTGTGTTGAGGAATCTTCATTGGATGGATTGAGAAGTAAACATAGAACACATTAGTAATCAGAAAAGGGATGTCCACATCGTCCATTGGCATCACAGGTATCTTCCAAGGGAACACCCACCCTACTGCAGTTTGTAAAAGAAACCTTTCTCGAGTTTCACCCGGGAAGTCAAATGGAGCTTTGGCTTCAATGCTTTGATGCACGCTGGGGGCTCCACTTTGAGCTGAACATCCCACAAGATCTTGGCGTGAGTCAAGCCGTTTAGCTTGGTCATACGCCCCAGGAAACAAGCACCGCACGCAGCCCGCTTCAATGACCCTTCATCCATTTGAGCATCAGTCAATGCTGTTGGGGAAAAATGGATCTTCCCACCCCTCAAGTTTGGTTGGACTTTGCACCTCATGAAGGCTTCCACCATTTCGCCGTCCTTGACAAGCTGTTAGAAATAGACTTGAAGAGACCAACTTTTCCAATTTCCTGACTCCCAGATTTTTTAAAAACATCCTGGAGTCAGGATTTAAGTTTTGCCGACTTGCTGATCTTATAAGGTTCAAGTATATTCAAATCATACAAGACAAGGTGTTAGCTTTTCCTCGAAAACTGTTCAGTTTTTTTTCAAAGTCGGTCCTTCTCAACCTTCAAGGGTTCCACAAGATGCCCTTGGATCGAAAGGTCTGGGATGGAATGCAACTTCAAAGCCTTGAATCGCAACTCGGCCAAAGTCGTGGTCGTCTTGGTGCCCCCCTCCACCATCACCACATTCTCCACATCAGAACGGAACTGCCAGAAGAGGACATGATTTGGATCTCCGCCTGTTGGAATTTGAGTGGTTTTGGAAAATGGATTTCATTGCTGCACACTTCAGATCTTTATCCCCCCACCTTCAGATGGAACCACATCCCCCACATTGAACCCCAGAAGTTCCATAGGATCGAGCTGCAGGGTTGTAGACTTGTGGGTTGCTTCATCCAGCGACAGGTAGATGTCATAGTCCTTGGTAATGTGCAGGGCTGGAAGGTTTCGAACTGGCTTCACAGTGAAGAGCCTTAGACCACCAGGTGAAAACACATAGGGCAAAATAAAAGGACAAATGAAATGGATAATAAAACCAAATGGACAAAACAAAAAGATTGCAACAAAAGTCAGGAAGCACATCCGACGACTGGAACTCGTGCTGCGGCACTGATGGTAGAATGGCATCAGCAACAGAAGCTGGGCGATCGCCAACAGTCATGTCAGGACCATCAGCTGCGACTGCACCAGGTCCACCTTCAGCGCTACCTCCAACAGACTTCTTGATGATAGGAGCGACAGTCGTTTGCACAAAGTCACGGAAAGAAGAGACCTTGCCATTCCACTTCTCACCATAGGCCTCATCCCCATCGAACTTGCAGATCACAACCTCCGACAAGGCAGGCGCCTCTCCATCCCAAGATGTAAGAACCAAGGACGGCTTCGCCACTGGGTTGCTGTTATCAGGTTCTTTGGGACCTGCATCAGGATGACCCTCCCACCACTCCTGCATCAAGATCGCCTCCATGTGCCCACAAACTGCCTTTTGCACTGCTAGGTCCCCGGCAAATCCAAAATAGGCAATGCGCGGCTTGCCAGAATCAGACTCCCAAGAGTATTTCAAATGCCAAGCTGCCTCAATCCAATCAGGGACTGCCAATAGGTTCAATTCAACAATGTCCAGCCGGCACTCAGGAGACGCAATGGCTGTGCCACTAATGAGGGTCTCAATGATTGTGGCAGCTGCTTTCAACCCTTTTTGCTGGCACCTTTCTGCTGGCGACAAGCTATAAGCTTCAACTGAGTCCCCTATGTGGTTTGGGGGCGTCAGCCTCTTCATTTCTTTGATCCTCATGAGGGGCGCTTCAAGCTTTCCCCGGGCAGCCACACCAGACAACCAAGCATTTCCACCCTCAGGAACTTTGTCACTCACACAAAGGCGGCAGCGAGTGTCGTTGCCATGCATGGCATCGACAGAGAAGTGCACTGCAATGTCAGTGTCCATGTTGAGACCATTTGACAAAAGTGCATCTTCAATCCTGCGGGCGGCGTTCAAGTTGGACTTCACTGTTTGCCCAGAATACCTCTGGGGCAAAAGCACCAGCAAAGCATTGTTCACCGAGTTGTGCAGGATCGATGAAGCTTGACGGATCAAAGCATCGATTTCAGACAGGTTGGGTGGAACGCTCATGTCCAAGACCATCAGCAGGAACCTTCACTGGGAAGCAGCCAGAAACAAACCTTGAGTTAAATAAACAATTGCAATGCACCAAAAAATGAGGGGGTTTTGATGAACATGGGATGCGGTAACATCAACCCACACCTCGAATCAGGAGAGCACTTCAAACTACTTGCAGATTCCAGGTTGGAACGGAAATCAGCCAACTCCATCGCAGCACCTTCAAGGGCTCCAGCGCGAACCCGCAGACTCTCCTCAGCAAACTCACGCACCCGCTCAAGACCACGAACATAACGCCTCCTGGCGTGTGTCAGAACCATGGCTTGCCAAGAGCTCTTCCTCTTGACCTCCAATGCCACCCAATCAGTCAACGCCTCGATGTCACCCTCCAGATCATTGACCATCTTCTGGAAGGTGGCAGTTTGCACTTGAAGGTGAAGAACTTTGGACTTCTCAACCGCTTCCTGCAATGTCATTCGATCGAAAAGGAACATGGAAGTGAACAGTGACCAGAACTACAGTTTTGATATGTTTTGATTTCAACCCAAGTCCTTCTCTTGAGCAGCTTTGTTGTTGGCAAGGATCACCCCGATCTCACTGACTTTGGTCAAGTCAATTTGCGCTGGGCACTCCTCCGTCAAAGTGTACAAGTAATCGTCCAAAACCCGGTTCTCAAACAATGACACAAGTGAAGGCTTCTCAGCCTCAAAGACACTCGATGGGACCTTGCCAGCAAATTCACCAAGAAGCAAGTCAAAGGCCCTGCTGACGCGAGCCATCTTTGCAACATCCGGCGCAGTTGCTGACTTGCGGAGGCCTGGCGGCGCTTGCCGGTAGTCCTCAACAAGCCTCTTTGCTGCCCTGGTGACAGACTCCTCCGTGTTCCTCAGGTTGATGCTCCATTCCTCAGCCATCAGGTCAGGTTGGTATCCCACTCGGATGTGAGGAGCTGCTATGGCAGCATGTGTCACAGGCCCCTTGGCTATGCCAAACTCCGCAACAGCATTGCCAAAGATCGCCCGACATTCCAGAGGCAAGTGGTGCACGAGGTTCACAATGGCGCCTGACTCCTGTGCCCCCATTCCAAAGATGCTCTTTGGAATCTTTCCACTGTCAAAGTTGCCAACCACTGAGCTCACTTTCTCGCCCTGCTTCAAGCGTCGGTGGATCTGGTGTAGCGCATTGAAGCAATTGGGCTTTGCCCGAGTCATCACAGACCCCATTGTCAAGTCTTAGTTGGAACATGTTGAAACTGCAAAAAGATGGCTCCAGCTTCTCAACATCAAGTGCCCTTTTTACGCTTTGCGCCACTAAAAAGAAAAGTACAAAAGGGCACTTGCCAAAAAGTGTTTAGATTTCTAGTGTGGGTTGGAACTGGTATCAGATAACCTATCAAATATGTAAGACTATTTTTTATACATAACTAGGTAGCACTCATTTATTTCCCCAAACTCTTGTGGAGACTTGTGGGAAACATCATCCACCCAAACCTTTACCAAGGAACCCCGGTTCGCATTGATTCGGTCAAGCTCAGAAGCATAGTCCGCAGTCACTAAGCCTTTGAGAAGACAAAAGCTCTTGTAGGCCTCAGGCAAGTGATCCCTGTAGCGCTCAACCAAGTCGTTCTGGATGAGAAGATGCGCCGCAAAGAGGGCTGCCACACACCTAGTCCAACCTTTGACAAAGCCGATGGATTGGCAATCATAGGTGCCCGCCTGCAAAGAACTAGTTTCCCAAGGGGTATCGAAGTAGGCCTCCACTAGAGGTTGAATCACAGGATACTCCACACCTGGTGACGTCGCTGCATCTGTGCGTGGGCCCTGAATCAAGATCAACATGATCAGGTGTTTGTGGAACTGGTTGATGACCAACCCTTTGTTTCCAGCCTCGATGTGTGGGCAAATCTGCCACAAACCAAAGGATTTGATCCCCGCAGTGAAGTCAGAGTCCAGGGTCTCAGTAGCTCCAAAATGGTCGATAAGGGTTTGAGAGAGTGCCTTTCTTTCCTCCAAGGTTGGGAAAGACTTCATGAAGAACTCCGAAATCGATCCAAATTTGGTGAAGGTCTCATCCACTTGGTTCATGAGGGTGTCCCAAAAAGGCAAAGTAGCTATGACGCCCTTCTCCTTCTCAACTGCATCGCCCAAGTCATCTAAAGCCTTTGGCTTCTTGGGTGCCCGGTTCGAGGTACCATTGCTGGGTCGCTTGCCTCCCATCGCAACTTCGTGAAGCTGCTGCCAGTTGGCACTCTGGGTTCTTGAAAGGCAAGATAGCTGAATTATGGAGGGGTCGATGTTTTTTCCGAGCACCACTCAGAAACATACATGGACATTGTTTCACATTCCTCAGAAACTATGAGTCTCGTGGGATCACTGGTTTCCGAGGAACCTGGATGAGGTTCCTCTGAAAATGTTTTGTTACAGCTAGACTACTTCAGAAACAGTAGCAAGTTGGCAGTGGGTGTTCCCTGGGCTGAACAGGCTTTTTCCGAGGAACCTCATCCAACATCCTCAGAAACTGGCACGGCCAGGGTCAATGAAGAGTCCGATGAATCCCACCACTTGAAGCACACATTTTCCGAGCAACATCGAGTAGATAAAGATAAACATGAGTTAGTGGTGGTTGGTTATGGACGCTGGTAGAGAGTTTGACACCCATGGGGCTTGGAACAAAAGAGCCAAGGATCCCAAATCTTGACTCAAGATTGGCACTTGTTCTTTTGCATATATGTTCTGCTTGCATCGCTGCTTTTGGAATCCTTGAGCTGACAGAAGACTGAGTCTGAGGGCGCCAAGATTTTGATCAAGACTGCGTCGCTACTTCCCTAATTTGCTTTGCGCTAAGATTACGCCACCATGCAGGGCCCACCTGACATCCTCAAATAGTTCTTGGCCAAAAGGAGAAATGGCAACCCAGAAACAAACATCAATACTTGTTGGGTGTGTGGCGATATTGCAGACCAACGTTGTGGGCTCTACAAAAAGGCGTTTCCACCTCAAAACCTTGAGAAGTGGCTAGACCACTTCCACCTCGTGGCACACATGGCTTCCAAATCAAAGGATATTTGCTCACAAACCTGGAAGAATTTCAACAGGACTTGGTAGCCAGCAGGTTTTGCTTAAACTTCGCGTGGAGCCATGCGACCACCAGCTCGAGAAGCTTCAGACATTGCCATCTTGAATTGGAAGCCCAAACAAAATTGGAAAGGTTGTGGCGCCCAAAGCAAGAATAGTGTGAGTAGACATTCCCACCAAATGTTCTTAGAACATATTCTTCCCAGACACCACCCTTTGTAATCCATATTTTGGGCAACATTGGAGGAACTTTCCAGCCTAGCCTGCCCTCAGCGCGCATCTATATGGGAAAGCTCCCCATCTAAGGAAGACCGAGAACAACCCTACGCTCTGCTACTGGCTGTGGCGCGCTGGCGCTGGCGCAGCTTGGCCGGATTAGTGGAGGATATGATGGGCCATGGCCCTGGCCCAAGATTGAGCCAGCTGGGCGGGATACTTGGCTGTTCCCTTTGTTGGGCGGGACTTTTGCCCAGCCTTGCCCCAACCACTCAGCACAACGTGCTCATGCAGACCATCACACTTGCGACCCAGCGAGGACAACATGCCATCAACCTCACTTGGGTCAACACGCCACTGCAAAGTCAGCAGCCGCGTGCGCTTCTTGTAGGGGGCCCCATACATGCAGTAGTCAATGTCCACAGTAGACCAGTTCGCATCTTCAGGCTGGTCCTGAAAAGGCCAATGTCACATACACCTTAAGGTGTTACAACAGATCACATTTTCATTCCAACACATTCTTTAGATCACATGTTCATTCCAACACATTTTTCCTCAGAAACACATTTGGACATATTTGCCATGGTCCTGTAAGAGCTTCACGATGGGTGGGCAATGCCAAAGAACCGAGCCCCGCGGGTTCTCAATAGTGACCAAGACATGGTTGTCAGAGAGAACTTTGACCATCTTGCGCATGTTGACAATGATGGCGTTGGCAACTTTCAAGACAGGTTCCAATTCCATTCCAGGGACACCCATGGGGTAGGCCTTGGTCCTGACAATCATCGTTCAACATGTAAACATAAACCAAACCCATTCCTTTCCCATGATTTCAGAGACCAATGAAGCACCCTCCCTTGATTCTATTTCCAAGACCACAACGTTTTTGGAAAGGAAACACACTTGAGTTGATTGTTAGCCCTCTCGCGGTCCTTAGCCGAGGATACCTTGCCTGGGAAAATGTGTTGCAGGGTGGAGCAAAATGCACATAGTGAGTCTTCTCCTCCACAAGCTCCGAAGCAATCTTCAAGGCCTAGTCTTCTAAGAACCCCACTTAGGTCCAAAAGGTGTCATTAAGTGATGCCAATCCCCATTTGCAAGAACCAGAGTGGAGCTTCCACCAAAAAAAGAAGGTACAAAAAACAAAAGAACAAAGGCCAAGAAACTGTGGTTTCCTGGCTGATGTCGTGGGCCTCCCCACCAGTCTGGTAGTCGACCAAGCGAACGCTGAATCCGAGGCCTTCCATTTTCTTGGCAAGGACACCGCTGCCAGAGAAGATCTCTGCCATCTTCAAGGCACGCCCCCGAACCTCGCGGATCTCAACGTGAGAACCCTCATGGGAGACTGGGGGCTCGAAGTCATACGGTTTTTCGCCATCACTGTCACTCAAGTTCTGCAGCACACAGTTTGAGAAGACTTTGGACTTAAGCCGGGCCATCTTTGGAGGTGGAGCAACATCAACATTACTATCAGTCAACAGTTGGCTGTCAAACACCTGTGTGTCAGCCATGACAGAAACTCTACTGAAACTCTACCTTTGCTACCCTCACACTTGGGCAAGAAGCAAGGTCAATGAGTTTAAGAAGCTCGCAACTTCGAACACGGCCTTTAGTAACATGAAACATGAAGACCAGGGCTTCTCATGTTTAGGTTTCCTTTCAACAGTTTACCTAGGGATAGACAGCTGAGACTGTTGTGGCACATTTGCAGTCCTTCATGCCTTGACCAATGCCAAGGAATAGCTTTTAATAAGTTCTAAGTTTGATGACAAAGAAAATGTTAGGATGGCTTAGGATTGCTAGTAGCTTGGGACTGCAACCGGCTTGCAGGTTTGAGCTGACAGCATCTGACAGCGAGTGTTTCACCTTAGCGGTCAAGCTCTGCCTCGAGTGGCACAGCAGCATCATCTTCCAGTTGGTCTTCAACCAAAGGAAGAGGATCCCTTCCAACAACATCTTCATGTTGAACGCTTCCTTCGGAAACATTCAAAGCGTTCCTGACATTTGGGTTCAATTTGTCCCACAACTCGTGGGCCTTTCGGAATGCATGGAGCCATTCACTGCCTTCAGCGTGAAGGGCTTTGGCCATACCACAAATTACTTCCATACGAGGGTCCACTACAACCTGAGGAGGTAAACTCACTGAAGCTCTTTCAACCCTCACATCGCTAACGTTGGGCTCCAAGGCCACAACTGCACCTGCAACTGCACCATCCATAGAACCAACTGCGCCTCGTAGGCGAGGGGAAGCAAGGACTGAAACGTCTATTGGAGGCTGAAGGGTCAACCTCTCACTAACCCAATCCCGCAAGTAGGAAGCAGCAGCAACCAGATTGAAAGGGCTAGCTCCAACAGCGTCGGCCAACCCCATGATCATGTTGGTGTACTTCTTGTTCTTTGGTCTTCGGGCCAAGAATCCTGCTTGGGCAGTGAACAAAAAGGGTTTGTGGGTGCTATAATTAGTGGTATAGATACTTAAAGGTACAAAGACAAAGGTTTGATTTCTGGTGTGTCTACATGTTGTGGGAACAATGGGAATTTTGATGGCTGCAGTGGCCTGTTGGCATAGTTCCAGGGATCTTGGAGACATCTTCGGCCGTCAAGTGTGTCATTCGGGCGCAATATCGGGCATCGCTCATCCACTGCTTGCACCTAGAGTGTCGGCCCAACAAGACTTGATTTATTAGAAAACCATATCAAAGGCACCCAAATTCAAAACTAAAAAGTCAAGAGGGGAGTTTGACCAGCTGCGCCGGGCGACAGCAGCACTGTGTCCGTTGAGCCACCTTCGCATCGCAGAGGATCACCAATCGACAAACCTCAGATAGCGAGGAGAGAACATGTGATAGAGCGGTATCCACCTAGCGTGTGTTCCTTAAGGGTTCAAAACAATATGGGCTAGTTTTCAACAATTAATGCCAAATCACTGCTTCGCAGATGAAACTCAAAGAGGTGTGGGGCTGATGGCCCAAAGATCCCAACAGTTTTTTTTGCCACAATGTTCAAACCATGATTTGTAGTCATGGACATAGTCGAGCTTGAAACATGTCTTCAGAGGCTCATGTGGTCGGTTGTCTGGCTGAGTCATAAACTTCGCATTGATGATGTCAATCAAATGGTTTGGGGATTCAGCCACGGGAACTTTGCCCTTGATGAATCCTCAATGGTTTCCAATCTGGTGCAGAACACAGCAACCCCCAAAAGTTCTAGAGGGAAAAACAAATAACAAACAAAAGGTGATATTGTATATTTGGTCATGGGTCGGGAGAGGGCTCCAAACCATTGATCGATATCCTGGTGGGTGCACTGCGGTGGATTATGGTCATCAAAGCCTATCAAAATTCCACACTGAAAGCTTTGGGGTAGCAGTCCTCATGGGTGTGTCCTGTGCGAAGGAAGCACACCCTAGCAGTCCGCACTATTCTTTTTTGGGTGATGTAGCTCATGAAGGTAAGGACACAATTGTTCTTGTTGCTGGAGCCCGTGTTGTCCAGTTGTATGGTCAGCTCAACGTCAGAAAGTTCAACCCCATGTTTGGCCAGGGTTGACAACATGTGTAGGACCAATTCCACAGTTGTGGATCCCCCCTTCGAAACGTCAGCGTCAGACACTGACAAGCAGGCCATGTATCCATGGCACAACAAGCCCCACACGTGTAGCCGTGGTCTTGTATATTTGTCAAAAGAGTGGCTATCAAATATTCTGGAGCGAGGTGTTGCATACTTACCCTGATCCATGCCATCTATGATGGCACAGACCTGCTTCGAACAAAGTCTGCTAGATGCTCTCAATGCCCAGTAACACTTTCTGTCACAGAGCTGCTGAGCTAGATGTCGCTCATACAGACTCCGCTGCCGGACACGCCGGTTCAAGTCCGAGCCCATGTGTCGGATGAGAAGCTTGTGCTGAACACAAACTGGGCAAACTGAGAACAAGTAGCGGTCCCTAAAGGACAGTTTGTGTGCAAAGTCCTTGCGATAACAACTGTGGAAACATTGCCAAGAGCATGTTTGTCCAGAGGTTGCCACATACTGGCGCCACAGGTCATACAGTGTACCAGG